AGAGTCAACTTTAGAAAATAAAGAGGTTTAACTGCTGCAGGTAGTCCAGAGCTGCTGCTGCAGGCCAGCAGCAGGATTTCTATTTGCCCTTATTACTGCAACGAAAAAAAGTAGGAAGGTCACATTTGAAACAGTAGCTGATATTTCACTCTGTCAACATGGTGTATTTAGTTAAAACGTTGATGGCTGACCTTCCCTCCACAGCAGCAGGGGCTGCAGCACGCAATGAGAAGCTGCAGCAGCTCCAGAAGTAAGCAGGCTGATGTGTCCATGAGGGCATATGCTGTATTTTCAGCAGGAATTTGCACAGTCCAAAGCACCAAAAAGGGCCATCAGAAAGACAGCTGGCATAGAAGTCAAGGCTTTCCCTGGGGAGGAGTCTGGTGCCTGAATGACCCAGGCACCCCACCGCCTGCAGGTGGGGCACAGGTATCCCCTGTTTTTGAGGAAGGCTCTGGGTGGGATGCTCCACACACTGCCTAGGCTCAACACGAAGCAAATGCCAAAGATGCTTGGATTCCACAGGTGTCCCTGGGTGCTCCTGCCTGCTGTGGTGCCAGCACCTGTTCCCATGCCCTGTGACTGCTGGTGGCTCCGTGGCCAGTAGAAGGCAAAAAGCAAAACTGTATGGGTGAGTTAATGCAGACACAAACAAAGCCTTTCATAGGGAACACAGGAGGAATTTGCAGGCAGCTGCAGCCATGAGGACATCAGTTGTGTCTCTGTGTGTGCAAAAGTCTGTTTCATCATAGATGGCTGAACAGAAGTGCAAGTGGCTGCATGGGGTGATGCTGAGTGCTGTGTGAATTCAGGGATAAGGTGTTACAGGGTCTGCCTTTTCTTAAGTGATTAAGTCTGACCAGTGAAGCCTTCTAGGAAAACAGTGGGATTCCTTTGCTTTGTATCATGAAGTTATTTCCCTTTATATGTCTTACTGAACTCTCAGGATATAACCAGCGTTTTTTTTTTGCCTGCTTCCTGGATACCTGGTGTAGAAGATATTCTCATTGTCGTCACTTGCATCTGCAGACCCAGAGATATGTCTTAAAATGGAGATGGGTTTCTTCAGCCTCAGCCCTTTCAGCATCACAGGTCATCCCAGAGACAAAAAGCCAAACCTCCTTAGCCACAAGAAAGAGAAAAAACAACAGCAGAGAGGGAACAGCTCTTGCTCCCAGCAGGCACAGAGGAAGAGAGACTTTCTGCTTCCCCTTGTATCAGTGGCCAGCTCCTCTGCAAGCCCTGGGGCATTGCCTTCTCACTGCAACCCTGAGCTGCCCCTGTTCTGGCAGCACTTGGCCCCATGCTGTTGTTACTCAAAGCACGGCGTTCCCATTTAATGAAAGAGGTGCTTGGTACTCACAGTATGCTTTAGCTCAGACAATGCTGATGTAGTAGGTTTTCCATTTAATGTTCTCAGCTCTGATAAAAATAAATAAATAATAAGAAAGGAATTAATGTTTAGGTCAAGAAGTATTTGCACACACCTTACTGGCAGCAGAGAAAGAGTTTCATAAGCAGAAGGAAGTGAAATCTGACTGGTTTCAATGAAACATGTACATCTGAGAGTTCACCTGCAAGTGAAGGAGAATTCCTGCACCACAGATCTGAGCCAGAAGGGCTCAAAGTTCTCAATATGCTGCAGAAGTCAGTGGCCACCTAGCTGGGCTTTGAAAAATCCAGCAGGCTTTACCTTTTCCTGAGAAAAAAAGAAGCCAGCCTTTTTTCAGTGTGGGTAATAAGTCATTTAAAAATTGGTCATCTCCAAAATGCAACCTCTCTCATTAGAAATTAATATTTTTGTCTATCTTTCTGCTTTATGAATCTTTGTCATGGAAATCAGGTGTAATTTCCTCTTCATAGGCTCTCATATTTCACATGACATCACATTTTAACGTAGCTTAAACTTCTGAGACTGCTCTTAGCACCAACCACACCTCACGGATGCACAGGAATCCATCTGCATTTACCCACACCACTAAACTCGCAGCATTAACTCCTGCCCGGGTACACCCACAGTACATGGTAGCAAGTTTCCTTTCCAACTGCAGACTAAAAGCAGTTTAGATGCATCAGTAGTGCTGAACGCTTCAGAAAGAGGTCAGTTTTCTTGAGAGTGACTACTTTTCAGGGTAGTACTGGCAGCACAGGAGGCAGTAACAGGAGAAGGAAGCACTCTGTCTCTCCCGCACCTTTTCTCATCAAAACAGGTGATCTCTGAGCCCTGTGAACGTGTTGGCAGTCATGTGGCAGTGACTGTTACATGTATATTTATATACATCAAGTAGGGCTTCAAGGGCTTTATATAAGTGCAAAATGGATTGTATGTTCACAGTAAGTTGTTCAGTAAGATAATGGCTGCAGCTGAGGTGGCCATCAGCATTTAGCAGCACTTTCAGGTACAGATTCTGATATTAGGAGTTCAGGAATTGGGCTCTGTGATCCTTATGGGACCCTTTCAACTCAGGATATTCTATGATTCTATGATTAGAGATCACATTGCTGATGCTGGGGGACACGCAAAGTGCTGTAGGACAAGCTAGTTCCTTGACACCACTGGCAGCCCCAACCCAATCCCAGCAGCTGGTTCTTTTGGATCAGGGAGGCTTTGCTCTGTCTCTGCCCTCTCCACCCTCCCAGTGCCTGTCTGTAGCTTTCTAGACTTCAGCCCCACTTCTGAGCCAAACCCACAACAGGATGCAGAGACTTTTGTTTTGTAAGTTGACCTAAAACTGACAGTAATGACTCATTTTTAAACTTACCTACCCCTGAGATAATAAGTAATTCACCTGCCAATGGGTGGCCCATGTGAAGGTAATGATTATTCCTTAGTAAAATGTCTGCTTACCAAGCTTTGATTTTACTCAGAGAAAGGTAAAAGCAGATCTTTAGGAACAAATCGTCAAGTGAAAAAAGAAGATGTTTTTCTCTGCTTTAATTTCTACTGATGATGTGAAATAATTCCCAAAAGTAAAACCAAAATGTCTGGCTCTGACACATTAAAAAGAGAATCATTTCTATAAATTACGTTTAAAAGCAAGATTCTATTAAAACTGATGCATGTCTTTGAAAGACCTGGCTTCAAAGAAATTGTGCTTTCTGAAGGAAAAATACTGCCTGGACATGGCTGTCACTATCAGTGCCCCTCCAGTTTCTCCACCTCCCTCTTTGCTGTCCATATTCTTGAAAATAGAATGACTGTTCCACACCAGGAGCACCAGTGCACAACACCCATGGCCCAAACGTGCCAGCAGGATCAGACCCTGCCACAGACCAAGGCTCAGAGACATATGGTATCCTAATCCCAAATGCAGTTTCAACATGCGTGCATGGTAACTAATGCAACACAAATGATAAAATTGTTGTCATTAAGAGTATATATCAGAGTCTTTGTGGAACTGTGACTAAATAATGCCACTACATGGAACAAATAAATTTGGCTGAAGTTTTATCCTTTATTAGGATACAGGCCATCGAACACAAACTGTGGCTATTTCTGATGGTGGCCTGCAGAGTTTCCTACAGGGGCGAGTGCCCTTTGACAGTCAAAATAAAACAGTCATTAATGCAAATCGTGGCAAATAAATGAGGGAATGATGCAAAGGCTGATGGAATTGTAAATAGAAATAAGGAGGTACCAACTGAGGAGCACTCAGTAGGTGGGACCTACTTACCAGGAAGTCGAGATATGGCTAACATAAGATTGTGGCACTTAGGAGTAACAAACAAAAGACTTGCTGGGTGCTTCATAACCCCAGTGAGCAATGTCTCTGGAATGACTTGGGATTAGAAATGACAAAGAACTCAGCATGCTTCGCTAAAGAGGAGACTGGAGAAATGGGCCTTGTGAGACAGAGGAGTGGGGAGAAGAGAGGCAGATGGTCTTCATCCCTATGTCCAACAAGAGTGAGAAAAGGCAGAAAGTCTGGAGAATATAATGGGAAGAGACACAAAAACAATTCCAGTGAAATAAGGACTAAATGTGAAGGACTTATAGAGTTTGGCTTGCAAAATTTATTAAAAAGAGGATAGAGTTGTAGCTTGATGACACAGCTTGAATACCATCGTAAAGCAAAAATAGAGGAACTGAAAGACTATTTACTCAGAGAAAGGTTTAATGTAATGCTAGCTGGAAGAAAGGCCAGACAAATTCTCAGGAGAAACAGCATACCTCCTTGTCAGAGGGAATAATTAACAAACAAGCCTTAAAAGGAAGTGCTAGGTTCTGCAGCTCCTTGATGCCATAAAATCAAGGTTGGGTGTTCTTCTGGAAGATGTGTTTTACTCAGATAAATGTTAGAGGACTCAATGTGCCAATAACAATACAATGTAAAGGTCCACGTTATATGCAATCATTCATATTAAATGTTCTGATGGTCCTTTCCAGCTTTAAAAGGCCATGAATTAACTAGTCTAAGTCCCAAAGTGTCGTCTTTTATTTGTGCTCAGAGGTAGATCCCATTGTCTTGCAGTTGTGGTAGTTGACATTTTCAACCTCCTTCTGTATTTCTGCATTTCCTGCCTGGATTTAAATGTAGAATGAGATTTCAGAGATTTACCCTTCCCTTGCTGGCTTACAGGGCTGTGCAGCCAATTGCAAGCTGCCTGTAACAAAGGAGTGATTCTCCTCAGCTTTTCTGAAGTGCTGGTCTCATAAGGAAAGAGACAAGCACACCACACACCATACCACAAGCAGCAGGCAGCTCAAAAGCTTGCCAGGTTGTCCTTTGCACAAGAAGATAAGAACCATTTTTCCCTGGCATGAGGGTGTACTTATTATCTCCTACTTGACTGTTCTTGTGAAGGTCTAGATGAGCCAAGGGATGGTACAGAATGGGTGCTTCTCGTGCAGTCTGGTATGGCTCTTTCATCTGCTTTTCTGAAGCCTATTATCTGTGTGAAAATGAGCTTGCAGAAGTGCTGAAGGTCAAAAAAGAAGGGCTGGTATTCTGGTGGCAGCTAGCAGCTTGTAATGAGTGTCTGCTTCTTCCTATGTCCAGGTTTTATCAGGCTTTGAATGAGTTTGGCATCATGACCGCTGAGGACTCTACTGCAAGGATGAGCAACGATTCCTCTAACGTGAGCAGCACAAAAGTCCCTGAAGGTGTGGCCGGTGCACCCAACGAGGCGGCCCTGCTGGCACTGATGGAGCGCACCGGCTACAGCATGATCCAGGAGAACGGGCAACGCAAGTACGGCGGCCCACCGCCTGGCTGGGATGGCCTGCACCCTCCTCGCGGCTGCGAAGTCTTTGTGGGCAAGATACCCCGTGATGTCTATGAAGATGAGCTTGTGCCCGTGTTCGAGTCTGTTGGCCGCATCTACGAGATGCGCCTGATGATGGACTTCGATGGGAAGAACCGCGGTTATGCCTTCGTGATGTACACGCAGAAGCATGAGGCAAAGCGGGCTGTCAGGGAGCTGAACAACTATGAAATCCGCCCAGGCAGGCTGCTGGGTGTGTGCTGCAGCGTAGACAACTGCCGGCTCTTCATTGGAGGCATTCCCAAGATGAAGAAGAGAGAGGAGATCCTGGAGGAGATCGCTAAAGTGACGGAAGGTGTATTGGATGTCATTGTCTATGCAAGCGCTGCAGACAAGATGAAGAACAGGGGTTTCGCCTTTGTGGAGTACGAGAGCCATCGAGCAGCAGCAATGGCCAGGAGAAAGCTCATGCCAGGAAGGATCCAGCTGTGGGGACACCAGATTGCTGTTGACTGGGCAGAACCAGAGATAGACGTGGATGAAGACGTCATGGAGACTGTTAAAATCCTCTATGTGAGGAACTTAATGATTGAGACCACAGAGGATACCATTAAAAAGGTCTTTGGGCAGTTTAACCCTGGCTGTGTAGAGCGGGTGAAAAAAATACGTGATTACGCCTTTGTGCACTTTACAACCAGGGAAGATGCCATCCACGCCATGAATAACCTTAATGGTGTCGAACTGGAAGGCTCGTGCCTGGAGGTTACCTTAGCCAAGCCAGTGGACAAGGAGCAGTACACTCGCTACCAGAAAGCAGCAAAAGGAGGGGCTGCAGCAACACCCGAAGTAACTCAGCAACCTAACTATGTTTACTCTTGCGATCCATACACACTAGCGTATTATGGATATCCATACAATGCCCTGATAGGGCCCAACAGAGATTACTTTGTGAAAGGTTAGTAAGCACAATCAGGGGATGCGATGGGCAGACTTGATCTAAGGCTGGTGTGACCCAAGGTCTGTCTGAGACAAAGGACAGTTGGTGCTTGGCTATTTTCTTAACCACTCTTTTAGAGTTTTTTTTGTCATATTTATATTCCATTTCATTTTAATTTATGATCATGCAGAGATAAAAGCTAATGTACAAGCTAGCATCAGAACTACGCTGACAGAATGAGCAAACAGACCAGTTATGGGGTGGAGAAGGGAGAGACCTGTTTTTTGTGAGCGTTGTACTAAGACTGGCCAAATGGACTGGTCAAGGTTCTGATGTCTCTTTCCAAAGAGCTGCATCCTAGGTATTAGGAATCATGGCAAAGGGTGCTCCTTCTGCCTTCTTCTAGAGGTGTGGGTGCAGTGAGAACCACCTGATAGACCTCGGCAACAAAAGGGAGGGGTGTCAGGGAAAGTCTGAGCTGGAAACTCACCAGATGTCATCTGTCCTCTGTATTAAAATTACAGTAGTGCTGTATCCTTCATAAAGCCTGTTAAAAACCATTTGCAGAAGGAATAAAATCAGTGCAAAACAATTATTTTATTATGTATACTTTAATCAGTTGTGGATTACAACCATTAAAAATTAACTGCAAATATGTTATTCACTAAAAAGACAAACAAAAAAATAATTAAAAAAAACAACCAACCAAACAAACAAACAAAAACTAGTGGCTATTACTGCTATTATAATTATCCTGTACTTATAGGAACTGAATTTCCTGAAATTTATTGTGCATTTCCAAACAAGAGGCAGAGTACATTAATACCACAATGTCCAAAGTATCGTTGTAAAGTGTGTGGTGTTGGAGAGGGGTAATATTAACATGTGCAGAAAGAAAACAAAATAAAAAATTTGTAAAAATAAATTCAGTGGCGTGACAAAGGTGGTTGAAGGCCAGATAAAACTTTGGGCTATCCCCGCATTTCTGGGAGACTGAGACTCCTTTGGAGGACAGCTGAGAGCAGAAGCTGTTTCCGCTGCTTAGACACCATCTCTGAGGGACCCTCTCTCTCCTTACTTTCTGTATTATACCTGAAAAACTGGACACAAAAGTTGCATCAGTACAAAAAGGCAGTTAATTTACTCTCAGAAATCTCAAGAGCAAAACTTGTGTAATCTTACTGGGTGCAACCAAAGACAAAATCATTTTTTTCTGTAAGCAAAGTGACTCAGATCAAACCGGCTCCAGCAGCCTCATTTCTAAGCATGTGCCTCCCAGTTTCCCAAAGTCTGTTTGTATTCCCCATATTGCTGCTACTGTTTGTTGTTCACCATCTTTCTCTATGTTGTTATCATAAGCAGGCAGCATACGAGGTAGAGGGCGAGGTGCAGCCGGCAACAGAGCCCCAGGCCCCCGTGGCTCCTACCTGGGGGGATACTCTGCTGGTCGTGGCATATACAGCAGGTACCACGAAGGCAAAGGAAAACAGCAAGAAAAAGGATACGAGCTGGTACCCAACCTGGAATTACCAGCTGTCAACCCAGTGGCCATTAAGCCTGGTGCAGGTCAGTATATGCAGTTGGGTAGGCTACATCTGCAGGATGGGAGGAACGTGGAGGTGGCAGGAGAGCCCCTGCTCTGAGACCATGGTCCAGGGCCGGCCTGTGTGGCAATCTTCCTCTCTCCAAGTTTCTAAACTGCTAGTTTCACCCTGGGAAATTTCCCAACCCAAATTTCCAGAGCTCTCCCCAGCTCAGTTTGTGTTTCTCTACAAGGCTGGGAAAAGGAGCAGGTGCTTTCCTATTGCAGGAAAGTCCCTGGCTAAGGACAGCTTCTCCACCACCATCAGCAGCGTGGGGAGCAGTGTGGGTGTCCTACTTGGAGTCACACAGCAGAGCTACAAACTGTGCTCTGCTGGGCTACGAGAAGCAGGCCCAGGTCCAGCAAATTTTAACTGCACACCTAAGCAGCACTGAATACTAAAGTTGCAGTAGTTTACCAGAACAAGTTCTATACTGTCAGTGGAAATTACAACTGTCATCTAATGAGGACTAGGAAGAGTCCTTCATAACAGAGGGATGAGATAATGTGAGAAGAAGCGCTGAGAAGGAGTGCTGTTAAAAGATTAGAGTCAAATCTTCAAAGGAAGATCTCAGGCTTCCTGAGAAAACTACCCACTCACAAACAGAAAATATTGCCATTATCCGTATTTGTAAAGATAATTCAGCTATTACTGAAGGATGACTGAAAAGTTGTCGGTTTTCTCCTTGAAACACACACTTGATTTCACCCTAGTATTTATCAGCGGTGTCCATGTAGTTTGTTTGATTACCAAACAAAAGTCTACATTTCCAGCACATTCAGATTCAGATGTCTTTATCTGGTCTTCCCCTCTACCACTGCTCCAGCACAGGCCTTGAGTGCTGAAGCACCTAGCCTCTTTTTCCCAGTCAGATGAGCTGATCAGTTAAAAAGGCCACGTGCAAGACTTATTACCTCTGTTATCAAAAGGAAACTACTCTGAGATCACCTATCAGAATGGAAAAGTAGAGTTGTATCAACTCTGGAAACTTCTATCTCTTCAGAAATATCTCAAAGCTCAATTCCTTGCAAATGATTAGGAAACTTCTGAGACATCACCCCAATACCACAGCTGCCTGATTCTGTTTTCTGCCAGAAGACACTGCAGAATGGAGTGTGTGAGCTCTCTGCCTTTGCATAATTGGGGCATTACCCAGGTTATTTAAAGCAGTGAAAAAATTGGTTTGAGCTGACCAGGTGGAATTGATCTATTAGTTAATTCATCTTCCCTGTGAACAACTATCCTGCTGAAAGACTCAAGAACTGAAAGCTGAACTGCACATTATGAGGCAACAACAGAATTACAAATGTGATTATTGGGAATGCCCAGCAAAGCATATTTCTTCCCTAAACAGTGCAGTGAAATTCTGTGCAAGACCACGTACAAATTCAGGATCTCTGTTACATACTGATTGGAGCATTTACCCTTTACCTGGAAGACAATAGCTCTATGTGTTTTGGATTGTCCAATTTTGGCACAAGGGAGAATTATCTTAAGAGTAATTTCTTTTTTAGTGCTGTTAAACAGATTGATACTGAAGCAGAAAGATAGGATAAATTGTATTAAGCCAATTTAGGCTTGGGAAATGTATAATAATACATTAGCTGGTATTTCACACCATTGGCCAAAGGGCAGCATATAGACTGGCCCAGTTCCTGGCTGCTACTTCTGCAGTAAAAACCATATCTTTTTTTCCTGAAGCAGCCCCATGTCCTTTGATATCAGCATCTAGAGCAGAGACCTTGCCAGGATAGTAGGTGCTTCTGGCCAGGGAGAGAGTGGTGATGGTCAGAAGGGGCTGCTTGAATCCAGAGCAAGGCCCTAGCCCTGGGACAGCCATGCCAAGGGGAGAAGTACTGGGAAGAGCAGACAGCACCAAGCCCATCACCAAGCACGGTTCAAGAGAGCATTTGCTGTGATTCTTCAACCTGCAGGGAGGGCAGATTTGCCACAGGTCCCCAGCTACTCGTGAGGCTGCCTTTTGTGGTGGGATCTGGCAGAGCCAAGAGGAAGGCTGTATGTTCTTTGAGAATAGGCTCTGGAGATGCTTTCCCAGTATGCTTGATGTGTCTGGTCTTTCTCCTAGTGGCCATCCCTGCAATTGGTGCCCAGTACTCCATGTTTCCTGCTGCACCACCAGCCAAGATGATGGAAGATGGCAAAATCCACACAGTGGAGCACATCATCAACCCTATTGCCGTCCAGCAGGACCCAGCCAGTGCAGCAGCTGCTGCAGCAGCCGCAGCTGCAGCAGTAATACCAGCTGTGTCAACGCCTCCCCCCTTCCAGGTGAGTTCAGTGCAGGCAGCCCAATTCCATATGTTCTGCTCTGTATACTCAGTGCAGGGGAAAAGCTGCCTGCAGCACTCTCTGACTGATGCTCTTGCTTGGTGCCTCCTTCTGTGGGACTGGTTGTTGCTCAAGCATGACCCCACTGAGATCCTCACATCCCACTGCAGCTCTTGGGTTGATTTCTACTCCCATTACTTTGTCCCTTCTTTCCAACATGCAGAGAAATTCATCTCACATAACCTGAGACTTTCCTCCAGTGGTTATATCTGGCACCTGAGCCATACATATGCCTTTATGTGGAAACTTTCCTTGGTAACCTAATCCAAACCATTCTATGTGTCACAGGAGAAGATCAGGCACCCCAAAAGTGCTGTTCATTTGACCTGTCTTAGACATCTGCACTTCGGACAGTTGCTTTTCCTCTAAGGAGGACCCAAATTTGGTAGGAAGAGGAGAGTGCCCAGGAGGACATCTCACTGTAAACACACTAAACAAGGACGGGAAGATAGTGCATGCCCTGTTGAGTGAGAGAGATGAGTGAGACACACAGGGTAGTCTGGATTGGGTGCACATGAAGGATATCCAGTCCAACTGGTGCCATGACACTGGGGAGCCTGTTACAGTGCCTGTCCACATTCTGGTGAAGAACATTTTCCTGATCCCCAACCTGACCCTGGCACTAGGCCTGCTTGTGCTTAAGGACTGTTTGAACCATGCATGGTTTGGCTGTGAGGCTACCCAGTGTGGAGTCAGGAGTTGGACTGGATATCCCTCATGGAGTCCCCTCCAACTCAAGACATACTGCAATTCTCTGATTCCAGGGCCGCCCCATAACCCCAGTGTACACCATGGCCCCCAACGTGCAGAGGATCCCCGCTGCTGGCATTTATGGGACAAGTTACGTGCCATTCGCAGCACCCGCTGCAGCAACAGCAACGATAGCCACGCTACAGAAGAATGCCGCCGCTGCTGCTGCCGCTGCTGCCGCCTACGGGGGCTATGCTGGCTACATACCTCCGGCCTTCCCAGCTGCCACCATCCAGGTGCCCATCCACGACGTCTACCAGACGTACTGAGACTGTCGGCAGAGAAACAAACACTGAAGGAACACTTTACTATTTATGAAGAATGCGCCTGCTGCAGGAGAGCAATGTCAGGACTCAGTAAACTGACGCAGAACCTGAAAGTGAAGAATGTCTCAGAAAAACATGTTCAAAATGTTTTCTACGCTTGAAGTTTTCACTAACTTTTTTTAGGCTATTTTTAAAATTTAACACGCCTGTATTCATACATTTCTAAACGACCTTGATGCAGCCACCCATCACTTACATGCCTTTATACGCATCACAGTGGGGTTGCACAGGGTCCTTTTTTTTTAGCAGTTATATTTTCAATATATTTGTGGTATGAAGGTTATTTTTAGTAACTTCTGCACTCCAGAGATGTCTATTTTGTAGTGCCTTTAATAATATATCAGCTATATATTAAGAAGCACACCTGAGCAGCTAGGGAAAGTTTAAACGATATATTTTGAAGAATATATTCAATATTTAAAGAATACATTCCTTAGATTTTTTTTTTTTTTTAAAGAAAAGAAAAAAACAACAAGTATCTTATTTAAGAAATGTTATACTGGAAAGTGCAATTTGAAAAACGTGCAAGACCTCTGCGTTTTTGTGCTGGCATTAATACAGTCTGTTTGTTACTGTTTGAAATCAAAAATAATTCATATTGCCTTTGTAGGAGGAACAGAAAGAAGAAAGCCTCCTCACACGAAGCCCTTCGCAGTGTGATTAGCAGGCTTATGATGCTAAAGGAAAGGCTCAGAGTTTTCCTCAACAACTGGAATTTCTATTTATTGAAGCTACCTGTAGTTCAGCCTTGGAGCACGCGCAGATACGCGCGCCTCATATTTTGCGTAAGGCGTCTCGACTTCAATCTTCATCCAGTATAAAACCTAGGCTCTTTTTAAATGCTCTTTATTTTATTCTTTGAAGTATATGCTGTAGTGACTGAGAATGTATGCTGTTGTAGGCAAGAGCTCGCCCGCTCCTGGCAGCAGGATGCGCGGTGCTATTTACCCATAGCTTCATCACGTCCCGTGAGAAATTTCCGAGGTACTGGGGGTGGTGGTGATACTGGAATTGACACAGCAAGGCTGGCGTCCCTCCCGGCCTCCCTTCCACACAGACTCCAGCTCCCACACCTGGAGCTCTGCGTGCACATCAGGGATGGGAAGGATTGGACCCCGCCGTTTTAAGACGTAGAGCTTGTAAATACCTTTTAATATACTTTTTAAAAGTCATTTTATGTTGCAAATTTACATGGTATGTGGTTTGCCACAAAACAAACACAGTTTATTTTGATGTTGTTAAAAAAAAAAAAGTTTGTTATATTAAGGAGTAAATATATTATTGCAGTGTTTTGTGGCCTGTTTAAAGGCTTTTATTTAGTAGTGCAGTGAATGTAAAATATGGTAAAACGTTAAAGAAATATCTCACCCATTTTATGAAGTGTATCAGCTCTGCAATCACAGCTCCAGTGAAGGGAGGTGTGGAGCAGGGAGTGAGTAAACAATTTTGCTTTGCTTTTAGTGGTATAAATACCAGCTGAAGGGGTTTCATATAAAGTATATTTTGACAACAGAACCACTTTCGGATCATCTCCAGCTTAGTAAAGTGACCTTTTAATGCATATTTTTCTTGCCTCAAAACGGAGCGGTTGTTTTTAGGTGCTCTTACTCAGCAAAGCTGAGCTCTATTTAAACCTGTCCAACTGCTATCAAAAGCACTGTGAGGAAGTTAACCATTAAGTCGGACTCTGACCCTCCGTGCCCCTTCCCTGGAGGCTTTTGCCATCTGTCCCACCGCTTCTGAAAACAAAATCCTTAGCCTCCAAACCTTCATCCCAAACACCCTGCCTGTTTTTAGGGTAAGGGGAGGTGAAGCAGGCAAAGCCTTGTCAGAAGACCCTGGCGGGAGTACCCAGAAAGTGCTGGGGCTCCAGCTAAGGCTTTGTACAACTCAGTGCTAACTGCCACCATGGGTCACAGCCAACCTCAATGTCATCCAGGCACTGCAGGCCCTGCTATCCCCTTTCCAGCCCCTCCATCAGAACCATGGCCAACCCAGAAGAGCATCAAAGGGCAATGGCTCTCCCAACCATCCTCTACCCACTGGCCCCTGTTGCTTGCATCAGGGACAGAAAGGAGCCCAAAGAGGTGAGTCCCTAGGCCACCACGCCAGGGCAGGAGCAGGCAGGACGTGGGGATGCAGCCTCCCACCTCCATCTTTTCCATTTGCTTCTAAACCATTTCATGTACACTACTACTGAGGTAAGTCTGATAACTTGAAATGTGAACATCTTTAGGTTAAGAACAAACTATTCAAAGAAATATATATATATATATTAAAGAAAAACTAGTGTGCCTTATTCTTGAAAGAGCTGATATTTTAGGTGTTTTATTGTATCTCTGTTTTCTGTATTGTCAGAAGCCTCTGAATTTATTTAGTTCTGCTCCATTTACGGTACATTTCTAGGACATAGTGAATAAAGCATTCTATAAAAACAGAGACTGTTAATTTATTGTAACATTCTATTGCCAGGTGAGCTTTCCCGTGGGCAATGTGCCCCCTCCTGGCTGGGCAGGTTCTTGGGGCAGGAGGGGAGCAGGGAGCCATGACCCACAGGCTCCTTGGGAGCAGAGACGGGCTGGAGGACAGTGCTTACTCCAGCACATGCACTGGGTTCCTCCTCAATTATCCAGCAGTTGTAGATCAGCCTAAATCTCTTTTGAAACCCAATTTAGAGTCCATGCCTGGATGCTGGATGCAGATGGAAGAGCTGAAGCTGTTGTTTCTCTGTGCTTTCCACTCACTCACTGCACAAGACCACATCCCCGGGCAGAAGCTCTGGGAGCTGGCAATGGGGTGCTCTGTTAAGAGCAAGCCCAACATTATTATCCTCTGAGCATGCTTCAGCCCACAAACACAGCCCTTCCTTGAACAGATCGCAGGACTGCACCTCCTGGAAGCAGTCCTACAGACTAGCCGTTTGTTTCTTTGCTGTAAGCCCATCTGAAGATTGTTGGGTGCATATACCAAGCCTTGGGAGAAGGGCAATGTGAGGGAGAAGAGCTAAACCCTAAGGCAGAGCAGAAAGAAGGTGACTAAAGCAGGAATTACCACTAGTGAATAATCCCAAAAAGGAGACAAGAACAAATAGTGCACAAGCTTCTATATCCTTCATTAGGACTAAAGTGTATCTGCAACTTCCTGTCTTTAAGCATCACTTCTCATAATGCAATTAGGTGAAGACATCTCATGTTAATGCCTTGGTTTTCCTGGAAAATACTAATAATGAGACGTTTCCCTACAGTTCTTTTGTTTGTTTGTACTAGGAAAGTGAAAGTGTTTTTTGTTTGTGGGTTTTTTTTTATTTTGGTAGGACTTGGGAATGGATAGAAAGACACCTAATTTTGCTTGCTATGTCTAAACATTGTAAGTTTGGTTTAGGAAGTCTGCACATCCCATTAAAAATGACCAGTAGCAGGTCTCCATATCTTACTTAGTAAAGGGATAATCATCATAATGCAAAAAGCAGCTTTCAAGGAGATACAGCCACATCAGAACTTCACCTGTCAGGCAAACAGTCAGGTCAAACAGGAGACTAAAGTCTTTCCTGCAGCTCCTTGTTGGCCTCTCCACTCACCGCCCCTGTGGCATTCAGCTAAGCCATGCACTTCACAAACATCAGCTTTTTACAAGTGAGATGAAGGACTGACTGTGCCTCACTAACACGTGGGTCTGGTTCTCTCATGGAAGTTTCCCTTTTCCCTTTATCCCTTTTATCGCTATCTATCCTAAACTAAAATGAATTTACATAGCACGCTTTGACTTTTTCTGAACAGACATTTCACAAGAGAATTTATTATTTTCCTAGATTTATGGTTTCTTATTTCAGTTTTGTAAGATCATAATTAATGATTAACCAACCCATCAAAAGCTCAAACATGCAAGTCATTCTGGAGATATTAACATAAATAACACCAGAGAAAAGCAATCATGCTTTTAAAATGACCTTGCTGCCTTAGGAATGCCAGGAGCTCTAGTGAGGCCTTGGGCACAGTGACAACTCAAAATGTTGCCGAGTTGATCTCATTCCCTTTCTGACCATATTTCTTGATGGTCTTGAAAAGCAGATACACACTGCTCTAGCTGGTGTCAACTGCAAGTGCTAAAAGCAACTTTGAATTTTTTTTCAGGGAACAGCACACATTAATATCACTTCGACACAGCAACTGTATAGACAGATTAACAAAAAATTCAAGTGGATTTACATCTCTCTGATATTGCAACATCTTATATATAAGCACTGGAGCTCAAAGCATATGCAAAATGCATTTTTAGTGCCTCTAAAAGGTATACACAGGACACCGTGTCCTGCTTTGTGACTGGTGCTACTCGTGTGGCATCTCTGTTCCCGGTCCTCAGCAGCTATTGGCAGAGCTCACTGCTCTTGTTGCCTATCAGCCTCAAAAGTGGCCCATCATGCTGATCTGTAAAAAAAACAAATCCTAGACCTACCTCATAGCAGGGGAAACTACCTCTGCTGTGCACCTGAAAGTCAGCAGAGCCAGGTTTTATGCTCCAGTGTGTCGGTGAAATGCTGAATCACACTTGACTGAGTTTCAGTGGTATGCTCTGCTTAGAAATGAAAGTGCACAAGGGGAGTTACAGGGAGAAGCTGTAAGCAAGGAAATGAAAAAAAGCAAGTTTGTGGCACACAGTCGTCCTCTCTTAACACAAAGACAGGCTGCACCATCATACACCACTCCAAAGAGCAAAGAGAGTATGAAATTTTTTTTGGAATTTGGTACAGACCAGACTGTAGAAGTACTTCCATATAAAATATTCCCTGTCAAGTTGATGAATTAGATCCATTTTTTTTTCCTCCAGATGGAAGGCAGGGAGATTAATGGTTTTCTGGTATAAGAAGACAGAAGCCCAACCCTGTAGCAAAATTACAGATCTGCTTGTAGGAGGTGAGCAGTCAAGGGCTAACTCTTAATTAGAAGACTGGGCAGGAAACAGTTCAAATGTGCTCGGATCTGTCCCACGTGCACCAAACAGCCCTGCATTCCCAACACAATGACATGACACCTATCACAATCTGAAGAGGCTGCATTGGGAGCCCTATGATGCAGGAAGCTTCTGCTCCTCACAGTCCCCTTCTACCACAAGGGAAGACCAGTGGCCTGCATCCATCCCTGCTAAAAAGTCCTGCTATCAATCCCATGGGTGATTATAGAGCTCTGGGTTGTAGGTTTGTGCCCGCTCAACTGCTCCTGTTCCTCTCCATGTGACCAGATTGTATGGTGGTCACCAGTCAGAAATGGTCTGCCTGTCCACGGCTGTACTTCTACTTTGAACCATGGTATGCTTTTGTTCCTTTTTTTCAAAGCTCTTTCCAACAAACACATTCGATTTTGTCAGAGGTGATAGAGTCGGGCTGCACTTTGAGCCTTGTACATGTTTGATGTCACTGAAGATCTGTGTCAGCTTGGCCACTGCCTGCAGTCTGCTTGCTTATGGGAAGTGGGATGCCACAATTAACCAAAGGATCTCACTGAAGCATGAAAAAATCTGCAAGCAGCCTACACAAGCCATGGGAGCGACATCAAGCCAGCCAGCTGAGAGAGAGACATGTTTAAATCAGCCAGAAGCAAAACAGCCAACACTTATTAGCAGTTCCTTTGTTCCAAAGCTTTGAAACAATATCTGCAACAAGCAATTATCACTCCTGTAACGAATCTGCAGGATATGGACCAGGGTATCTTGCAATCAACAAGGCATGCGATAACAAGGGATTACTTATTAAACTTGTACACACGGCATCCTCAGTTCCTCCAGTCTTTAACTTCTTGGTTGCTGTCCCTTACTGGAGGGTTTTCCAGCCACATGGATAAGTGAAGGATTCCCTTAAGTCCTGAATTCACGCCAGACACTCTGGCTGACCAGCTTTTGTGCAGGACGCAGAGGGACACATCACAGCCAGCAGCTGCCAGCTGGTCTCCAGTCTCACTGCAGAGGTACCTGCAGCTCCCCAGTTAAGTATCACCCAGACTGACCGTGAAACTCATTGATGGAGTAACATCCCGGGGCCTCAGTCTGTGGGCGAGCTGCTCAGATGAGGGTGGGTCAGACTGTGGCAGGGCAGAAATTGTTCCACACCCTCAGTTTGGGTACACATCCCTCCCCACTGAAGCTGCCCCAACACGGAGTGTATGCAGGGCAGGGCTGCCCACCCATGCACCCGACTGCATTCAGGGCTTTCCAGAGCACTGGCCTGTCAAACTCAGGAGTTTGGCTGGGTAAGTAGGTGACATCCACAAAGGGCAGCAAAACACCTTCAGCTGTCTTGGCTGCTTCTCTCTCCTGAGCATTGAGAAGGGCAGCGACATGAGTGCATTGGCTACAGATCCCTCTTTCCTCCTAGCAGCCCAAAGGGAGATGCACAGGAAGGCCAGTCTCATTTCGGCCAACAGATCTCATACCAGTGTTCATGTTGACCCTCCCCAGAGACCTCCTACTCCATCTCAAGCAGAGTATTTTCCTCATGGTCACACAAAATAGAAACGCATGCAAAAAATCATTCTATTTCTATGCCCAACATCTTACTTCTCTTTTGCCAGAGAATATACTGAACATGACATACAGCAAAGAAAATCTGGTTCCCTCTAGGAGATGAGAATAGCCAAATACACATATGCAAAGCAGCTGAAATTCAAATGAGGAATTATATTCACCAGTGAAGTAAAAGGGACATTTTTCCAACAGCTTTGTTACTGAGCAGTGCTGTATCCGCAAGGTGACCAACACCACCAACAGGGGTACAATCATTATAGATATCATCACTGTAGGCATTAAAGGTGCAATATGAAGAGCATCACAGTTCAGGAAATGGTTCCTTCTTACTCATACCATCAGAAGCTCATTCATAGCCCATCACATGCTTTCCCTAGAACCAGACCAGTGTGCATACCCTATCCAGAAAGGTGCTGTCAATCAAACTGCACATTAAGTAGTTAAACAAACTGCAATTAGCAATATGCTTTTCCTGCTAGTTCCACTTTTCTCATGAGGGTTTCAGTGGAGCACAGACACCAGACTGGGTCCCACACCAGGGCTGTCCCATGAGTGCTTCAGCTCAGACTTTAACTGTAATAACAAAGACTTCAGCTGCACACAGTGTCAGCATCACTACCACTCAGAAGCAATGAATAAACACTCGCCAGCTGCTGGGCCTGGCATCAGTGAGTTCCAGCCACAGAGCCCAAAGTAGCAAAGCCCCAGGACCTTCTTCCAGTGTGACAGACATGAGCCTGCTGCCTCTCCCCTGGGGTCAGACAGCACTTTCTATGCATTCCAGTATCTCTTTGGAAGCACCAATGAAAAAGGCTCTTTGTAAAAAAAGCTAAATAGCTTACAGTCTAATGCAAGAGCCCCACAGGGACAAAAGAATCATTCAAATGAGCCTGGTGCAATTTGTAATTGGCAAGAAGAATCGAGTCCTTTTC